TCCTCCATCATTGATCCTTCTCCATCATTGACCCCCCATATATCCTTTTCCACCATTGACCCCCCACAGATCCTTCTCCCCCATTAACCCCCCACAGATCCTTCTCCAGCATTGTCTCCTAGATCCTTCTCCACGATTGACTCCCTCTGGATCTTCTCCACCATTGACTCCTCCAGCTCCTTCTCCACCATTGACCCCTCCAGATCCTTCTCCCCCATTGACCCCCCATTGACCCCCCCACAGATCCTTCTCCACCCACCCCACAGACTCCCACAGATCCTTCACCATTGTCCTCCTCCAGATCCTTCTCCACCATTGGCCCCCCACAGATCCTTCTCCAACATTGACTCCTCCAGATCCTTCTCCACCATTGACCCCCCACAGATCCTTCTCCACCATTGTCTCCTAGATCCTTCTCCACCATTGACTCCTCCAGATCCTTCTCCACCATTGACCCCTTCAGATCCTTCACCATTGACTGCCCAGATCCTTCTCCACCATTGACCCCCCCCCCAGTTGTACCCCCCTAGTATGTATGATGCATATTCTTAGCCCCCAAGTGCAGAACCTTACATTTATCACCATTAGCCCTCATTGGCCCCATAGTCCCCCCAATTACACAGAGCAATGAGGTCGGCATGTAAGTTGGAGACATCCTGTAAGGACTATTCCCCGGCACAGCTTGGTGTCATCTGCAAAGACTGGAATGGGATTTATAATCTCACACCCCATATTGTTTATATATATATATAATTAAAAAGTAAGTGGGGTACCCCCAACACTGAACCCTGGGGTACCCCACTAATAAATAACACTGAGCCTTGGGGTACACCACTAATAACACTGAACCTTGGGGTACCCCACCCCACTAATAAACACTGAACCTTGGGGTACCCCACTAATAACACTGAACCTTGGGGTACCCCACTGACACCCCTGACCATTCAGAGTATGAATCATTAACCACTACTCTCTGAATCCGATCTTTTAGCCAGTTTTCTATCCATTTACATTCAGATTTTTCCAGCCCATAGACTTTACCTTACACATTAGCTGTGTGTGGGGAACTGTGTCAAAGTGTACCACGTCCACCGCCACCCCTCTGTCCAAGTATACCACGTCCACCGCCACCCCTCTGTCCAAGTATACCACGTCCACCACCACCCCTCTGTCCAAGTATACCACCACCGCCACCCCTCTGTCCAAGTATACCACGTCCATCGCCACCCCTATGTCCAACTATACCACGTCCACCGCCACCCCTCTGTCCAGTATACCACGTCCACCCACTGTCCAAGTATACCACGTCCCCGCCCCCCTCTGTCCAAGTATACCACGTCCCTACCACCCCCCCCTCTGTCCAAGTATACCACCCCCCACCGCCACCCCTCTGTCCAAGTATACCACGTCCACCGCCACCGCCACCCCTCTGTCCAAGGGTTTGCTCACCTCCAATCTAACCTGTTTCATGATGGTTTAATCCCAGCTCACCTCTACATGTTGTCTACAGTAAAAACATTTCAGCTTCCACTGATTACAGAATACTAATACTGAGAGTCCTGACCCTTATACTATATAACTTGTACATTACATACTCCTGACCCCTGCACTATATACTCTATGTTGTACATTACATACTTCTGACCCCTGCACTATATACTCTATGTTGTACATTACATACTCCTGACCCCTGCACTATATACTCTATGTTGCATTCCATACTCCTGACCCCTGCACTATATACTCTATGTTGTACATTACATACTCCTGACCCCTGCACTATATACTCTGTGTTGTACATTACATACTCCTGACCCCTGCACTATATACTCTATGTTGTACATTACATACTCCTGACCCCACACTATATACTCTATGTTGTACATTACATACTCCTGACCCCCCCTGCACTATATACTCTATGTTGTACATTACATACTCCTGACCCCTGCACTATATACTCTATGTTGTACATTACACACTCCTGACCCCTGCACTATATACTCTCTCTATGTTGTACATTACATCCTCCTGACCCCTGCACTATATACTCTGTGTTGTACATTACATACTCCTGACCCCTGCACTATATACTGTCCATGTTGTACATTACATACTCCTGACCCCTGCCACTATATACTCTATGTTGTACATTACATACTCCTGACCCCCCAGATGGAAATATCTCCATGTTACATACATTACATACTCCTGACCCCTGCACTATTCTTGTTGTATTATAATATGCATCACACAAAAGTTAGATGTACTCTTTTACATTACATTCCACCCCTCACTAATTACACTTTCAAACTAACAGAAAACAAAATACATGGCATACTCCTGACCCCTGCCCCTACTCATGTTTATTACATACTCCACTGCCCCCTTTGTACATTACATAAGCTGAGACCTGCCATGTACATGTACATTACATACTTGACCCCTCATATCATCTATGTACTGGGAATACTCCACCCCTGATACAACTCTCAAAGGTTGTACATTACATGCCCTGACCCCCTGCACTACTGACCTGTTGCCCCATTACAATCCAGCACCATATTCTTCTAATTGTACAGTTTACTAGAAAACTGAAACTGAAAATAGTTGACCTCACAAAGCTGGAGAAGGCTATATAGATAGCAAATGTTTTCACATGTACAATACTCCCTGTTCGGAATGTCACTATATACTGGCATGTCATTGTACAGTACAGTTACTCTGAAGACCAAGCAATATCAGACAGAACACTGCAGGATTGTGAGAAAAACATTACAAAACCCACGTTTGACTGCACGATCCCTCCAGAAAGATCTGGCAGACACTGACCCCTGCACTATATACTCTGTCACTACATACCCCTGACCCTATGCACTATATAGATACTTGTTTGTACATATACTCCTGACCCCTGCCTATAGTCATCATGTTGAAAACCCATTACTACTCCTGACCCCACAAATATCATCGTTTGAACTTTGCAAATGAACATATATGACATAGCCTGATGCATTTTGCACTACAATACTCTATGTTGTACATTACCGACTCCTGACCCCTGTTAATAATTTAACTCTTTGTTGTACATTACATACTACTGACCCCTGCACTATATACACATGAATTGTACATTACATACTCCTGACCCCTGCACTATATACTCTATGTTGTACATTACATACTCCTGACCCCTGCACTATATACTCATGTTGTACATCATACCTTTACTTGTGTTGCAGCCAGTGGCACTACATCTCACGAGTACAAGGAACATGGATTCAATAAAATTTCAGCAAATTTTGGATGGTAACTTATGCCATCTGTGAAAAAGCTGAATTAAAGAGAGGATGCTTCTACAAATGGATAATGATCCTAAACACATCTCGAAATCCACACGGGGGTACATTACATATCCTGACCCCTGCACTATATACTATGTTGTCATACTCCTGAAACTGACTATTTTGCCCTGACCCCTTCACATATATCTCCTGACCTCAACTCCCCTGCACTATAATCTATGGTAGACCTTACATACTCCTGACCCCTGCACTAAATACTCTATTTGTACATTACATACTCCTGACCCCTGAACTATATACTCTTGCTGGTACAAAAACTCCTGACCCTGCTGCACTATATACTCTATGTTTACATTACATACTCCTGACCCCTGCAAGATATTAACTCTGCAGGTTGCCCATTACATACTCCTGACCGCCATTGCACTATTTTCTGTACATTACATTCCTGACCCCTGCACTATGTAAATGATGTACATACATACTCCTGAACCCTGTTGACATATAGAATGTCTAATCTGTAATTACATGCCTTTTGGACCCCTGCACTTTCCTTGGCTATGTTTATGCACATTACATACTCCTGACCCCTGCCCAAACTTTTATATACTACTATGTTGTTACTCTATGTTGTACATTACATACTCCTGACCCCTGCACTATATACTCTATGTTGTACATTACATACTCCTGACCCCTGCACTATATACTCTATATTGTACATTCCATAGTCCTGACTTCTCTCCCCCCCCCCCCCCCCCACTGCTATATATACACATAATATGGATTCTCTTTTGTTACACCCATTTCCTCCCAGCTGGACATTTTATATCGGATGATGTGATTGGAGCACAGACTTTTACATGGTGATAATAATGTGATAACATCCTCCAACTTTGGACCCTTAAACAGAAAGTGATAATGAGGGAGGAGTCAATACCCCAATGATGGTGGTCTTCAGGATCAGTCCAGTCTTCATCTTGGTTGTTCTCCCCCATCCTCACTCTCTGACCTCTGGTGGGGCTCAGCCCCGCTGTTCTTCATGACTAAATCATGGACTAAATAAGGAAGTGCAGTACTTCTTGTGTTGGGAAGATGGCGATGAGTGATAGAGGGGGTGGGGACCCTCGTCCTATAATCCCCTCATCACTGTCCCTCCTATAAAAGACAGTTCTGGTTGTTTCCTCACTCTCTGACTAAGGTCCATGAATAAAGAAATGACCTGGTAGGAGATCAGAGGAGCCATTTCCTAGTTCCCTTGAGGGTGGAATTGTAAGCTCCTCAGAGACCAAGCTGCCTGATGTGGGCGGAGTCCTGGTTTGGGGGAACCAATCAGCTCCTGTCTAGTAATCCTCTTTGTCTTTGTATTTTAGTCCATGGCCGGGAGATGAGGAAAACCTCCGAGGATTGTCTCACTTTGTCTCCAGACTGGAAAGTAGAAGATGAGGACATCACACAGTATAGTCCAGGAGAAAACCCGGCTCCCTCCAATGTCCATCCGGCACCACCCAGTGTAGATGGACCATCGGATTCCTCGTATCCTGAGGAACCTCAGACTGTGCGGGACCGGGCCGGCCTTCCAACAGGGAAGAGGTTCTTCCTGTACTGAGTGTGGGAAGGGGGGTTTCCATTAATAAATCTCACACAGGGGAGAAGCCGTATCTTAATGTGCATAAAAGATCTCACACAGGGGAGAAGCCATATTCCTGTCCTGAGTGCGGGAAATGTTTTTCAAGAAGTCCCATCTTTACACACATCAGAGATCTCACACAGGGGGAGAAGCCGTATTCCTGTCCTGAGTGCGGGAAATGTTTTTCAACTGGGAAAGTCCATCTTTACACACATCAGAGATCTCACACGGGGGAGAAGCCGTATTCCTGTCCTGAGTGCGGGAAATGTTTTTCAAGAAGTCCAGTCTTTACACACATCAGAGATCTCACACGGGGGAGAAGCCGTATTCCTGTCCTGAGTGCGGGAAATGTTTTTTTTCAAGAAGTCCAATCTTTACACACATCAGAGATCTCACACGGGGGAGAAGCCATATTCCTGTCCTGAGTGTGGGAAATGTTTTTCACAGAAGTCCAATCTTTACACACATCAGAGATCTCACACGGGGGGAGCCGTATTCCTGTCCTGAGTGTGGGAAATGTTTTTCAGAGAAGTCCAATCTTTACACACATCAGAGATCTCACACGGGGGGAGAAGCCGTATTCCTGTCCTGAGTGTGGGAAAATGTTTTTTCAACTAAGTCCATCTTCACACATACATCAGAGATCTCACACGGGGGAGAAGCCGTATTCCTGTCCTGAGTGTGGGAAATGTTTTTTCAAGAAGTCCATCTTCACACACATCAGAGATCTCACACGGGGGAGAAGCCATATTCCTGTCCTGAGTGTGGGAAATGGAAATGTTTTTACACATCAGAGAAGTCCATCTTTCCATCACACATCAGAGATCTCACACGGGGGAGAAGCCGTATTCCTGTCCTGAGTGTGGGAAATGTTTTTCACAGAAGTCCTATCTTACACACATCAGAGATCTCACACGGGGGAGAAGCCGTATTCCTGTCCTGAGTGCGGGAAATGTTTTTCAGAAGTCCCATTTTCACAGAAGTCCCATCTTTGAGTACACACATCAGACATCAGAGATCTCACACGGGGAGAAGCCGTATTCCTGTCCTGAGTGTGGGAAATGTTTTTCACAGAAGTCCATCTTCCAAACATCAGAGATCTCACACGGGGGGCAGAAGCCACTTTCCTGTCCTGAGTGAGGGAAATGTTCCTCACTGAAGTCCTGTCTTCCTGTACATCAGGGGTCCCACACAACCCTGGAGGTGTATTAGTGCCTTGAGTGCGGGAAATGTCTTCTAGATGAATGTTGCTGGACATCCCAGCTCTCATGTGGGGAAGAAGCACACCCTGATATACACCTCAGATATACTCCATGGCTGATCTTCATCATGGAAGAAACAGTTGATAAGGAGATGAGAGGCCCCCAAAGACATGGATGAAGTGCAGTAAATGTCGGGGTGCAGAGTGGTCAGTAGATCCTGGAAATGAAGGACACAACTTCAGCCCTTCTTGGGTGTCGGAGTTGCGTTTCCTGATAATGATATAGCGGGTTACAGAGCTAGAAGCCGGGAGAGCCCAGATCTCGTTATCGGGGAACTTTACACAGACAACAAGAACTTCTGAAGTTGATGTCCTTCATTTCAAGGCTCTACAGAACAGTGGTGACCCCGAAGCGTCTCTCTGTCTTCAGTCCATCCTTCTCCCATCCCCCAACAGGAGGGAAGGAGAACTCCGCCCCAAACTAGGGGGGAACTTTCCTCTCATTATTTCCCTTGGCTTCTGTGTGGGTTTGGGTGGTTGGAGGAGTGCGGCACGAGAGGGAACACAGCTTGTTTCTATGTCTACATATGGGGTCTGGGTAGAGGGGATCCACCGGAAAATATTTCTACTCTTTGATTTTGTGCAAATCGTTTCTGTTTTCACTTTGAAGGGCGATATTATGTGTGGTTTGTAAAAGGGATTGGCCCAATAGATACCACCCCACTTAGAGAATAGATGAACTAATATGACCAGCATTCATTCAGCCATGTCACATGTTGGTCTTTTCATACAGGGATTTCCTATGATCATTGGCTCCATCTAGTGGCCATAAGTATTAAACTGTTTTTCCTGATTGAGGTATTTTGGAAGTAATACATCATTATGGCCACTAGAGGGAGCTGATGATTATAGGAAGTCACTGAGTTTATTAAAATATGGCCAGAATTTGTCACAGCTGGACACATGCTTGTCACACTCCCCCAATATATTTTTTGCATAGACCCCTTAGTTTACTATGTTAGGGGTAATTTTGTACAAATACCTGAGATCATACATTTTCAAACATTGAAGATATAAATTACATAAAACCACAGAATTAAACCAACCATTGATTTAAAACCAAAAATACCTCATTTGGCCTTTTAGATGACGCTAAGTATCCTAGCAATTAGCACCATCTAGTGTCCAAAGTGTCAGGGAACACCTGAACAATTGATTTAGCTGACTAAATCAATTGTTCAGGTGTTCCCTGACACTTTGGACACTAGATGGTGCTAATTGCTAGGATACTTAGCGTCATCTAAAGGCCAAATGAGGTATTTTTGGTTTTATCACAGTGTCTCCAATACAAAAAATGATTTATAAAAATAACTTAATCTGAAAAATTCTTTAAGAACTCAAACAAGATCTGTGTAGGTATAGACTGCAGAGTATGAAAATCAATATTTATTTACATAAGTCACTTACAAACACCATAAACAATAGTCAGATTGTGATTTACACTGACACTAAGATGTTTCTGTAAAAGCTCTAAAATAGAGAATGAATTAAATTCAATAATTAGTCTCCCTGTAAACATCATAACCAATAAAAACGGACAATAATCTGTCTCCTGCAGAAGGAATAAACTGCAGAATAGTCCACCAGTATGGCCTAAGAACAGGAACATTTTTATAAATGACTGAACTTGAAGTGATGTTATCATGGGGAGAGTTATTAGGCAAAGATGGCTGCTGATTAATGGTTGGGGTTGAGCTTCCACAAAATGGCGTCTCTTCTTCAGTTGATGTGCCACCATCATTGGTGTGAGGAATAGTGCGGAGGAATAGTGTGCCCCATCATTGGTATCAGTGGGAGGAATAGTGCCTCATCATTGGTGTCAGTGGAGGAATAGAATAGGTGCCTCTTCATTGGTGTCAGTGGAAGGAATAGTGTCCCATCATTGGTATCAGTGGGAGGAATAGTGTCCCATCATTGGTGTCAGTGGGGAGGAATAGTGCTCTCATTCATTGGTGTCATCAGTAGGAGGAATAGTGCCTCATCATTGGTGTCAGTGGGAGGAATAGTGCTCCATCATTGGTATCATGTGGTATCAGGAGGAATAGTGCTCAGAGTGGAGGATTAGTGCCCATCATTGGTATCAGTGGGAGGAATAGTGCCTCATCATTGGTGTCAGTAGGAGGAATAGTGCCCCCATCATTGGTGTCAGTGGATAGGAATAGTGCTCATGGTATCAGTGGGGAGGAATAGTGCCCCATCATTGGTGTCAGTGGGAGGAATAGTGCCCCATCATTGGTGTAGTCAGTGGGAGGAAATAGTGCGCCATCATCATTGGTGTCAGTGCTCATCGTGTCAGGGAAGGAATAGTGCTCCCTCATTGGTAATCATAGGAGGTGTCCCATCATTGGGGAGAGGAATAGTGCCCCATCATTGGTGTCAGTCAGTGGGGATGGAGGAATAGTGTCCCATCAGTGTCAGTGGGGGGGAGGAATAGTGCCCCATCAGTGGAAGGAAATGCTCCATCATTTGTATCAGGAGGTATCATAGGTGGTCAGGGGGAAGGAATACTGCCTGCCCCATCCTTGGTGTCAGTGGGGGGAGGGAATACTTGCCCCATCCTTGGTAGTGCCCCATCAGTGGTCAGTGGGGGAGGAATCGTTGCCCCCATCCATTGGTGTCAGTGGGGGAGGAATAGTGCCCCATCGTTGGTGTCACTTGGGGGGAGGAATAGTGCCCCATCGTTGGTGTCAGTGGGAGGAATAGTGCCCCATCCTTGGTGTCAGTGTGGGAAGGAGGAATAGTGCCCCATCCTTGGTGTCAGTGGGGGGATGAGGAATAGTGCCCCATCCTTGGTGTCAGTGGGGGGAGGAATAGTGCCCCATCCTTGGTGTCAGTGGGGGGAGGAATACTGCCCCATCCTTGGTGTCAGTGGGGGGAGGAATACTGCCCCATCCTTGGTGTCAGTGGGGGGAGGAATACTGCCCCATCCTTGGTGTCAGTGGGGGAGGAATACTGCCCACATCCTTGGTGTCAGTGGGGGGAGGAATCGTGCCCCATCCTTGGTGTCAGTGGGGGGAGGAATCGTGCCCATCCTTGGTGTCAGTGGGGGGAGGAATCGTGCCCCATCCTTGGTGTCAGAGGGGGAGGAATAGTGCCCCATCGTTGGTGTCACTTGGGGGAGGAATAGTGCCCCATCGTTGGTGTTAGTGGGAGGAATAGTGCCCCATCGTTTGGTGTCAGTGGGAGGAATAGTGCCCCATCGTTGGTGTCAGTGGGAGGAAATAGTGCCCCATTATTGGTATTAGTGACACCAATGATGGGGCACTATTTCCCACTGACACCAATGATACTTTACCATTGCTGACCCATGCTCCAGCCTGGCTCGATCGCTCCCTCCCTCTCCCATGGTACACACTTACCTGTCAGCTGTCTTCCTTCTCCGGCCCGGCTCTCCTCCTCTTCACTCGCTCGACTCCATCTTCGCGGTGCCGCTCGGCTCCTCCTCTCCAAGCTCCACCTCCTTGCCAGTGATTGGCCGCCTGTGTGCCTCTCCTGAGCTACAGTGCCGGCGGCCAATCACAGGCAAGGATTGATCTCGAGGTGTGTCCAGATGACAGGGGCGGCAATGTCATCCCCGCCCACACCTGAGACGGCGGCGGCGAGGAGCGGTTGTCT